AATCTGAAGGTGTTGGAGAGACGAAATGATTCCAGAAGCGTACATAAGCCTGTGACGAGTCACAGTCAAAGCATACCAAAACTCAGACGGAAAATTACCCTAGCTGTGGTGCAAGGTTTTAGAATTAATAATTAATTAATAAACTCCGGTATGAGCTTGCTACCCACCCCAATGGTTTATGTCCCTGAATGAAAGACTCAAGCACAGTCTTTATATTTTTATATGCCTTAAGCAGCACAATAGCTGGGTGACTGTCTAGCCTCTATGCTGCTAGAATCTACCTTCTGCTGATAATTCCTATAAATGCTATGTTCTACCTTGGCTGCTCTGGACCCCTTTGTGCATCCCTCTGGGACGCACTTTCTAGACCCAGAGCCTGGGTGCTCTCCTTGCTTCTCTACCCCAATGGCAGCTTCTAGGTCTGTCCTCTGTCCACATCTCCTAAAACATAGCGGATTGCCTTCTTCCTCTCCTCCCAGTCCCAAGCCCAGAAGCGAAGTGTAGACCCTCTTGTGTAAACAAGTTTTTTTTTGGGGAACATAATTAGCATTTATAATAAAAGCAGCTTATATATATATTATATATGTATATATACTATGTATATATGTAATATATATATTATATATATGAAACATTAGTGAATTCGAATAAGGGCAATTCAATGTATATCAAATTTTATTATCATTTTATGAAATGCTAAAGATGTTACTAGTAAAATTATTATTTTTTACTTTTTGTTTAATAGACTCAATGGTGTAATTTTAAAGGATTCTTACATGTGCATTTCTTAATTTGTCTTGCCTGTGGATCTGTCCCTTTGATTTGTATTGACTATGACACTAAGGTGATTTCTATCATAATGTTGCTTTTGTATTCTTGGTTAAACATGCAGATATTTGAGTGTGCTTTGCTCTTCTGGTTACTGACTTTAGTTCTTCCTGATACTTGCAGTAGCATTTTGGAGAAATGGTTGAAAGAAGGTTACGTTAAACATAAGCCCGATCGACTGACTACAAGGCACTATGAACCTGGCATAGTAGATATTTCTTTCTTTCTTTTTTTTAAAATGTGTTTTTTCTTTTTAGAAAATGTTTTCTTTTATGTGTATATTTTATTACTCCTGCATGCATGTCTGTGTATCACATGTGTCTTTAGTGCCCTCAGAGGTCAGAAAAAAGCCTCAGAGCCCCTGGAACTAGAATTATGGATGACGAGGCGTTGCCTAATAGGTTCTGGGAAACTGAACCTGGGTCCTCTGGAAGAGCAGTTAGTGCTTTCATCTCTACATCTCTCTAGGCCCCATGTTTCTTCTTTAAAAATCCCAGTTGTATGTTTCAAAGTAAGAAGACCATGTAACCTTTGAAAACCGAAGGTTGCAGTTTAGCTTTTATTTTATTTTAGTTTAAAATGTTTTTCGGCTGCTTTGCTTGTATTTAATATATGTGTTCGTTTTGTATCACCTGCAGTTTGGGTTTCAATCCCCTGAGGAGCTTCCTTACCGATTGTAATTAATAGACATAAATTGCTGGTTGTGGTTTTTATTTGTTTTTTATTCCTCTATCAATGTGTTTGTTAGAGAGGGAGATGGTAGCTGGAAACAACAGAAGTGGAATGGAAGAAGCACATAAGCACATAGCACACAGAAGGGAGGGACAAACACTAATTGCTTGGATCATTTTTTTTTCCTGCTCCATTTCTGTTTTCAAATGTAGAAGATAATTCTAAGAGTATGTGCCAGTTTAGAATCTTAAATATAGATAGGTTTCCTGCATATCTTAGCAGCGTTTCATCCTATCTTTGTAGTGAGTAATTAAATGTTTTCTTTTTTTTCTTTTGATTTTATGGCAATAGCAGAAGGTCCCCTATACTTTTAGCACATTACTCTCTCTCTCTCTCTCTCTCTCTCTCTCTCTCTCTCTCTCTCTCTCTCTCTGT